GACAAGCAGCTGCAGTCTCAAGGAGACCCTCTGGTGGGTGGCAGCTGCCCACCTCCTTGGTGTGCCTGGTTGCATCTTGCAGCTTTCAGTAATTTGAAAGCAGCTGCTTCCACTTTTCCTTCAGGATTATTATTTTCAGATATTTCTTTCCAGGGAAAGGAAAAACATCCAGAGCATTTTCAAATGCTATTGCCTTACCATCAGGAGCAGGAGTAACTTGAAAGGTGGAATAAAAATCCCTGTTTGTGTCTATGCAATTTTTGCAACGTTCTGTGCATTCTGGGCTTCCATTCAAAATAAACAAAATTTTAAAAGCCAAAACCTAAATCATATACAACAGAAAAAATAAATAAATAAATAAATAAATAAATAAATATATATATATATATATATATATATATATATATATAAAAGCTTGTATTTTTCTCCTTTGTTGTTTTCCAGAGACAGCACCATTGCAATGCATATAAATGAACCCACACCTCTGGTTAAAAAAACAACTCTGTGGAGAGCTGTCTTCAGCCAGATGACTCCCCGGGTTCAAGATCTGGGCTTCATTCCTGGATCCAGACAGATCTCAGACACAGCTCCTGTGCAACTGTTAAAAAGCTGAAACCACCTGCACCTAGAGAGGGCCACAAAGAGTGAAGTGGGAAACAGGGCACTGCCTAACCTGAAGTTAAGGTTTGGAGGTAGAGGATTACACACAGTCAGAGCAAAAAATACACCTGGGAGGAACACAACCACCCCTGGGTGCTCCATATGCTTGAAACCATAACTGCATTTTCCAGTTACATAGGCCTGCTTCCCCATTAACACCCCTAAATCCACAGGATGTCCCTCATCGTTTTGAAATCAGCTGGTTGGGTTCCCAGCTGCAGGGTGTTTCAGGCCAGGTTCCCAACACACAGTATCTCATAAAATCATGGTTGCTGCTTTCCCCTCCCTGGGGCAGGAAGAGCAGGGCTCTCCACGAAGGCGTGTACCAAAGTCTTGCACAAAACAGATGGCAACACAGCAGGAGTGGAGTTGTTTTGGGGATTTCCAGGGAGATCTTTGTTCCCTGGAACAAAGGGAGGAGACTGGCCTATCCAAGGCAGGGTGTGCTGCACCCATCACAGCATAAACCCTGTCTGGAGGGGGTAGGCACACAAGTTATGGGGCACCCGAAGAGCTACGTCCATCCAGCCCAGCCTCACACCACCTTTCCCCTGAGACAGCACAATCCTTGCTCTCCTACATCTTCACAGGATTTTTGCTCCTCCTGGGTTTCCCATGCACAGGTACCAGTGTGCAGGTAGTAGCAAGGTAATGGAGAATGAAAAATGTTGATTTACATGAACTCAATTACCCCATATAAACACCAGTGCAGTGCAATCCTAACTGCCATCCTCTTTTGAGTACCCTTGCTAAATAATACTACAGTTCATGGAAGACATTTCAATGAGCCAGCACATGATGATTTGGAAAGATGTTCCCTTGCAAAGATGACTCATAAAGAGAATTGAGAAACTCTGCAGTCAGTGATTAAACAGCTAGAAAGATCTGCCAGCAGAAATGTGTGTCCAAAATTGTCACGCCGTACACTACCTTTTATTTCAGTACTTCGCTTTGGGTAAAAGGTTTCATTTGTCTCATTTGTTTGAGTATGATGCATGTCAAATTTCAGATCCTCTCCTCTCGTACTAAGAGCAACATTTAATTCTGTTAGTCTTGTACTTCATCGGTCGTGTGGGAAGGTGACTGAACTCTTTGTCTAATAGCAGAAGACACTGCAATTGGTTCTTCAGACGCCAATTAAGAAAGGCCTTAAATTAAACATTAGGGATATTAAAAAAGAAAGAAAAAAAAAAAAAAAGACTGGTGGCTTGGAAAGCTCTGGAAAAATACTCAAGAGAGAATAGTTGCCATGGCAATGTTTCTCTGTTTTCCCTTGGGATAACAGAAGTATGTACGGATGGCACCTCCCCACCACGCACCTCATGCAGACCAAGCAACCCCCCCCCAGTGCTCCAGGCACGGACGAGGCTCAAACCCACTGAGCTTCCAGGTTCAACACAGACAGGGTGGTACAGCTGCCCACATAGAGTGGGACTGTGCTTTAGTGTCTCAACACAGGCAGCCCCGGTGTCAGGTCACACTGCCAGTGCCACACTGCACTCCCAACACCACCGTGACACCTGAGCCATGATGCAGGTCAGGGCGCTGCAGCACACGGCCAAGGAACTGCTTTTCTGTACCTCTCACTCTTGGGTCTTGATCACACAGAGTCAGTGGGGTTGGTGAGGGGTTTGCAGCCTAAGATGTCCAGATGCATCAGCTCATAGGACCCTGAAGTAGAAGGGCCACTGCATTTTTAAGTCCAGACTGCAGGCCAGGCTGCAGGGGACATAAAACAGGAGGCACTGGCCTGAATCACATGCTCGGTGCATGCCACTGAGTTGACCCACATGCATGAGAATCTAAGTCCTCAAGGATGCTGAAGTACTTAAATACCAGTGGTATCATTCAAGATGTTGTTTCTGGGATGCTCCACTTCCATTTGTACTTTTGAAAAATCACCACCTAAAATTCAGGTTCCTGAACTCAAATATCTGGATAGCATGAAAGATACGCCTGAAGCTAACCCAGGACCTAGAGCCAGACTATCAGCCAGACTCTGCACTCAGCCTCCGAAGAGTGTGCCTCCTTCCAACCCGTTCACTCAAGTTTCTCCCCATAGAAACTGAGGGGTGGACAGAAACGAGGGGTAGGGGAGCAGCATGCACCCAACTCTCACCTGGGTGTGGACTCAGACAAACGCTGCGCTAGAAATCAAGCAGCATTTGCACTGACCCATATTTTGCAGCGGCTCCCGCAGAAGACTAGGAAAAAGGCATAGCCAAAACCTGTCTTGTGCAACAAGAGAGAAAACTCAGAGAAAAGCAGAGAGATTATGAATGAGCTGACAAAACCAGCCTGCTGCTGGCATAGGCACCGAGCAGAGACAGAGCAGCTAGACTGGAAGTGTTTCATCCATTACTGTCAGAGAAGTCACTTTTATCACTGATCCTGCTCCCATAAATCAAGTTGCCAAGCAATTTTATAGAGACGTTATACATCCAAAGCTCCTTATGGTCCTGTTAAAAGAGATGCATTTCTTTTTTAGCTCGGTGTGGCTGAAATGCTGTCAGAGAAGAGAGCCACTGCTCAGAGTGCTATTATAAAAGAGGTAGTATTGTAATTACAGCAAGAGGGATAATGCGAGCCAGGAGCCACCATCTTCTTCCCTTGTCCCGTTGCCTTTGGGCAGCCTCGCAAAGCTGAGAATTTGCTACCGCAAGCACAATAGCTGCTCATGCACCCTTTGCCATGGTGATTGATGAAAATGGAGGAATAATGATGTTACTTCTCCATTCATCATAAATCAACCGTCCCCTCAAAGTGGCTAGGGAATTGTAAGCCTGCCCAGATTTATATGGACAACTTAACCAATTAGCTCTTTTATCAAGGCTGTCGTCTTCTTAATGCAGTGTTAGATATATTTAGGCATGTGCCTACAAAAGAAAGTATCTCTTTCTGAAGCTAACAAAGCTCTGATCCTAGCAGACTTAAAGCCTTGGTCTGCAAATGTTTGCCCTGTGGCTGTGTTTGCATTGGCAAGTTCTGTGACAGCAGAAGCTGACTAATAGCTGCAAACGTTGGGTCTGGAGGCCCCTACTTGTACATGACCTATATAGGTGAACAAATCCATGCAGTTATACACATACACACACAGACATGTTTATCAATATATATGTTTTGGAGGTTCAGGAGAGATTGAGCCTGCCCATGCACAGCTGTCCTGACCCGTGGCTGTCCCCATTGCCGTCACAGCACTGCTCCATGCCACGCAGGGCTCTGCTCACACACCTCACCCACACACCAGGCCCCCATTTACCACCCCTCGTTTGGGAGGGAGGGCAGGAGAGCACTCTTGAGCATGGGACTGAGCGCTGGCACCACTGACAAGGAGAAGCATTACAGCTATCAGCTAATTATCAGCACCATCTCTACTGTTTATAGCAAGCAAAGATAACCCCCAGCCTGACCTCCCCTGCCTGCATACCCCCCCAGGAAGCAGCACTGGCTGCTGCAGGGTTGCCCCTGGCTGATAGTTGCAGGAGAAAGGCACAGGCAGAGTTGTGGCCCTCGCTGTGCTCACCTCCAGCACCAAGCAACCCCCCCATTGCACTGAAGCGCTGGAGCAAGCCTTCTGATTTCCCCCTCCCTGTACTCATACATCCATGTTGGTCTTGGGTCAAAAATCCAGAGCGTACCTCTGGCTTGGTTACACTCCTGGCCCCAGCAAAATGCGGTTACCAGACCACCCCTAACACCAACGGAGCATCCACCCAGTGATGGAGACATATCCAAAGGCTGGCTGGCCCTGCTGCCCAGAGCAGAGAGCCAACCTGCTGGAAACCCTCAGCCAGAGGATTTCTGCCCTTCCACATGCAAGGAGCTCCTTGCCAAAGGATGGAAGGATGCCACCAACAGTAAGCTTGCCCAAAATGTAACTGCACAAAAGCACAGGAAAAAGTCTATCTGGGTCTACTACACACAGAAACAAAATGCCCCGAGCCACACTGTGCTAGAGACCAGGGGAATATTTATAGAAGGAGTATCAGTACAGAGTTGCATTGATCCTGTATTCTGCCTTAAGTTTCCTCTACTGTCCATCACTGAAAGCTGACTGGACTTTCATGTGACAGTATGTCTAACATTTCTGAATAGAAGTGCATATTGAAAAGCAGAGTCATGAATATTTGCCTGAACACTATGAACCCCAGCCCTGGGAACATAGAAGCGAAGACACAGTTTTCCTCAGGTGAGTTCTCAAAGTTTCTATATTAACACAAATAAATCAGTGAAAGCCTTTCGGTGGCTGAAACCAATGGAAAGAAAAAAAAAAAAAAAGAGAGAGATTATTCCATCAGCTCCCACTTCATACAGTCAGATAACGCAAGGCCACACCAAGATACCCAACACAGAAATTTATTGGAAAAAGCTTTATGACTACATACAGATACTGTGACATGATTAGTAGCCCAAACTGGCAACCTAGAGTCTTCCAAATCAACAACTCCCACTGAGCTCACAAAGTCAATAATCAGCACAAAAATTGTAATTCACAGTATTATTATATTTATGTAAAACTCTAAAAATGCAGACAGAACACAGGCATCTTTGCTTGTATAGAAAAGGCAATTCAATCTGCATAAGCTTTTGATATCAGGAACACTGTTTGTTGAACTTTACCCTGTTTACTGCATGTAAAAGGCCAGGGGCAGGACTGCAGAGGCAGAGCCTACAGACCTGGCTACTCTCATACTGGGTAAGACATGCTTGCTCGCTGTTCAGAAGGTGTATGCATGTTACGAAAAAAAACCAGCTTCCTTCCATACTGTGCTGTTGAGATGCGTAGCTCTGTTCATACCAGGTTTATTACTGGTCTTCCTAACATCTGAGATTTCACAGGAGAAATTAAAAAAAAAAAAGTCAGGATTTTGATCATTGCAGTACATTCATTGTCAGTACCCAGAAAGATTTGTATCCAGTCAGTCTATATCTGACTTCCAAAATCAACTCAGGAATGCATAAACTAAGCAGCAGTACAGCCCTCCACTCCTTACCTGTGCAGGTAAAAATAATATGTGACATGAACAGGTCCCTTTTGCATTGGGGATGGCCTTAGAAGGGCCTTTGCTCCTTTAAGGAGCCTTCATAACCTGCCACATCCTTGATTTCCTTTTGATTTCTCTTACACTGTGCTGCAATCACTAAGAATGGTGAAAAGCTTTCCATTTGATATTTATTTTTTAAATTAACTGCTCATCTGCTTTTTACCCATCTTGACTAACAGTTCTTGCACACAAGGAACTGAAACTCTGTCGTGAGGTCCACAGCAAAGTTCCTATATGGCTCAGCAAAAGAGAAAAGAAAAAAAAATCAGAACTTCAGGTTTTCTCCTGTTACTGCTAAGATTTGTTCTCAAAAAGAAGGCACAGGTCAAAGAGCTCAACTGGTCAGAACCCAGGACTCCATCAGAACAATCTTTCAGCTCTAGGAGGAAAATGGCTTTTGGAAAGCACCTGAACTTTGAGGCACTTTAGCATCAGAGGAGTGCATCTCTTTCAGTGGAGTTAAGGAATTATACAAGTACCCACTGTATCACAGTGTGTGTGAGTGTGTCCCCATTATAGGCATTTTGCTTCCTGCCTGGCAAAGAGCTGACAGCTAAAATGCTGGTTTGATGCCTGTCAATTAAACACCGACAGTGTTCCTAAAACAAGACCCACCCTTACTATTGTACTTGAAGTTTCAGAAAGGCTACTTATTATTTGGTGTAAATCCCAGCTTTCAAGAACCTGACTGTCCTCTTTCTTTAAAGACAGCTGCTCAGAGAAGCCTTTCTGAAACTCACAACATTTAAGGAGAGGTTTTATAAAGATCTGCACCCACAGGAGTTCCACTAGATGCTCACCATTCTTCAGATGCACCCTTAGATTGCAAATAATAGGTACCCACTTTTTTCACAGTTTCCATTTTTCTAATTCAAATAGATTACCATCTGCATTTCAAATTTGGTCCTTGTGTAGGCTAGTTTTAAAGAAACATTACACACAAGTAATAGGAAGGTGATGAAATGGTCTTGGGGTCTCTGTCACATTGTCTAGCTGCTGGTTGAGATCAGGACAAACCAGAACTCAAAATGTCCCACTTTAGACAGAAGGGAGAGCTGAAAACAGTATTTTCCCTCAAATAACTTTTCTTGGTCAGATGACAGAAATGTTGCTTTCCTGCACACACTGGAAAATGTAAAGGATGCCTATTTTCACTGCATTGTTTTGGTAGCAATGTTCATGTCCCTTTACACCGCCTTTCAAATGGCACAGATAAAAGCAGAATCTTACAGCTGCAGCAAGCTCAAGAAGATAAAAAAGTCCCTGTATGCACTCTCATCATGTTCCCCTGCCTGCCTCAGGTAAGACTAATAGTCTGCCAGCACTTGGACGTGACTCCTGTCAGGCACCAGTCTTGGTAATTAAGTACTTCAGCTGTCTCAGCATTGAGCTCTGGGAGCACGAGGGAGATAAAAGCAAGCTGCTGAGAGATCATGAGAGTCCATGTGGTTGAGGACTTAGTCTCGAAGGAAGGAGCACGATCATCAGGGGGGGTATGCAGTGTTCTTCTAAAATGGTTAGTCCTTAAAAGGGCAATGCACAGGTATGGAGGGAGGGGATTCTGTTTTTCTGCCTCTGTCAAATTGTTAATTTATTTTGAAGAGAAGAGGGACATGGTATGGGGAGGCTATTAGTGCAAGGCAGTACCAACAGGATCCAGATGCTCACTCTTTCACAAACCAGACCTCATTGCGTCGTCCATAAGGCTTCATTGGGGGGTCATAACCATTGCAGAAGTAGAAATCCTTGCGGTACGTAGCTTCACTTCCCAGCGCAGACTTCAGCTTGGCAGCATAGTTCACATAGTCCACCTCTTTGGCATAGCCACCAAACTGCCTGCAAAGAAGCCAAACATGGAGAAGTGCTGAGCAGCACTGGAATAGCACAGCACAAAAGAGAAGGAGAACAATGCACAGCTAGAATATATTTAGCCTCTCGTTTTGATCCAGGTCCCGCCAGCATGCACTTGCGCAGGCACCGTTCGTTGAGAACCAGCACACTGCGTCTGCAACAGATCAATAGTCTCAAAGGTCACACAGCCAGGGTACTGACAGCCACTGACAGACCCCAAACGGACCCATGTATATCAGTCATCAGAATGGCCCTGCCCTTCAAATGAATGCCATATCAGAGGAACAGCTCCCCAGAGAGCAAGGTTATCTCCAAGTCTGCTCAGCCTGCAGTCCTTCCACCAATGCTGTCAACAGCCATGTTCACTGGGGTGTGAACAACCGTCTGCTGGAAGCAAGATCATGAAGGGAAGCCAAACTCTAGCTAGCCCAAAGAAAAAGGGAGGCGGGGAACAGAAACGTTAGCAATTACAGCCTACAATGCTATTTTAAAGGGGTGGGCTGGAACTGGTCTGTTTTATGTTTATCTCCCACAAACAGAAACTGTTTCCACATCAGCCTGCACCTAGCAGCCCTGCTTTAGGGCCAAGGTTTGAGACAAAACAGCCTGTTGCTGCAGAAGCAGCCCACACCCACTGCAAAGGCCAGGCAGCAGTCACAGGCATGGGAGGAACCAGCAGCCCAGGACAGTTCAGTCAGCCAAAATAGCTCAAGCAAAGAGGCAGGGGAACATCCAAGGGGTTAAAAATGGGGTAAAGAGTTTATCGCTGCTGTGATGCTGGCTTGAGTCCAGCTTAAGTCAGTCAATAGCCAAAGCCATTCAAAGGTGATTTGAAGCAATGCAATGGCCACTTGTCTCCATGATGGGTTCTGACATTTGGGCTTCAGCTGACTCCTATAATTTGATGTGAACCACACCAAGGGACATCCTTGATGACTAAGAACCATCTTGATCCCAGAAAATGGGGAAAACAATGGTTTTCAGAGATTAGGAATGACTCAGTCCCTTCATATTCACCCTCCCTGGCTCTTCACCTCCTCAGGTGAAACAAAGAGCCTTTCAGGGCTAACCCCTGCGCTTGTTTTACCAGTTAAAAAAAATCAATATTCCAAATCTGTGCACCATGAATCATGACAAGAAATGACATAAAGCACCTGCCTTCACAGTCTAGAAAGATCCCACCATCTCCTACCACACACACACCCTATCCTTCACGTCACCTAATAAAAAACACCACTGTCCTTCAGAGCACCCCAGAGACCTGAGCACATGGGACTGGGAATCCCAGGATGTGTTCCTTACGTGGAATAAATGGTCAAGGCTTGTCTCTCTTCAATCTTAATGCTTTCATCGCTAGGACAAGGAGGACTGGCTTGAAACTGGTTTGGGATTCTCAGATAGACCTTCACTTTTTGCTGTAAGGATCCATCTTCAGCAGGAAAGGCAGTGATGGAGACTGGAGCAGTCATGCCCATTCCAACCCCTGAAAGAGACACACACAAATTACTACAGAAGCCTAGGTTCTCAGGAACTCAAAGCGTTAACAGGGGATTCATAAACGCTAATTTTGCTTTAGGAAGGCTCCTCACCATGATCTCCTTGCACAGTCAGTTGAAAGAGTGGGATACTCTGAGGCATGCAGAACAGCCTTCAGGCTTTTGCTTGAGCCAAACCTCTCTTCATACTGACTACACAGGGAGCCTGGGAAGTAAGGGCCCCAGGTGATTTTCTGGATGTTTTTTTCATGATTGGTTTTGTTTTTGTGGCTCTCAACTATATAGCTCATGCCACACTCTCTTCTGACAAATCACCTCTAATACAACAGGACCTACAGTTCTTGTGCAGTGGCACATTTATATATGAGTATTTAAATACACAAGTATTTAAATCATTATCATCTATACTTAGTATTGGCTGTAGCCAATACTGGGTGATAGAAGCTTTCTCCCAAACCCTTCCAAATGCTTCCACAGGTCCTACGAGTTCCAGTGCCCCAAAACTCAGAGCTTGTGTGGCTTTCAACAGGACTGTGCATACTGCCCCCAAGTCCGGGAACAACACACCTCTTTTCTGCTCATTACTTCCCAGAGGTACATGGCATGCAAGAACATTTTTCTTCCCTGTCCTTTCAGCAGTAATGAACCTATAGCTTTCCGTTGGGGACATGCCTTCACTGTAATCAGCAAGGAGTTCTTGATAGGCACACAATGGACTGAAATCATGACATCTTTCTCACTTATTTGTACACTTTGATACCCTACCCGTCTCAGTGCCATGCTGCAGAAGGTACCCTTCTACAGCAGCAGTGATCACCTTTCTGAAACTGTAGGGCTGTAAATGCCCTTTTCTTCTCTATCCACCTCCTATTCCCATGTAGACTATATAACTCCCTCTACCACATGTCTGAGAAGGGTATGAGATGCCTCAGATCTACTCCGTGGTCTTCTCAGCCTGTTACGGATGATTATTGATGCACATACTTTAGTAAGTTGAGAACTAGAGGCAATCACCTGGAAGCACCATTATAAAACACTGTGAAGTACCATTAAAAAGCACGCTCATTGTTCATTATCCTTTCATGAATAAAAATAACCAGGCTACGCAATAAAAATTCAAGGTCATGAAAGTTATTTCCCTGCCTACAAGGGCAGGCTTTCCGGGCGTGATCACAGAACCGAAGCGCCCCAGTTACCCCGGATTTCATCAGCTACCGTGCACCCCGAGAGCCGTGACAGCTCCACGTGTGCCTGTCCCTGCACTATCCCGGCTGCAAGGCGGCACATTCCTGCTTGAGCACGCCGCCCGGCCTCTCACCCTTGTCGTTGCTTCCTCCGACGTACTTGAGGAGCTTCAGCACCCCTTCCTTCGAAGCCTCGTCGAAGGGCTTGCCCTCCACCTCCACGGCGGCGAACCGCCCGCCTTCGCACTCCCTCTCCTCGTAGCTGAGCTGCTCCTGAGGGAAGGCGCAGGGTCAGGAGCCGGGGAGGAGGAAAAGGAAGGCGAAGGGGCAGGAGGCGGGGGGCAGCCTCCCTCCGCGCTGCCTCCCCTCCCGGGGGACCCCCGCGCCACCCAGCCGGGCCGCCCCCTACCTTCTCCCCCCTCCTCAGCACGCGGTGGGGCCATGTCTCCACCGTGCTCAGCAGGGAGTTCTTGATCATGCCCAGCATGTCGCCCACACCGCCCGCTCCCCTCGCAGTGCCCCGCAGCGCAGCGCAGCACGGCCGGCAGGGAGCGGCCGCGGGCCGCGGCGGGGCGGAGCGGGACGGGGCGGGGAGAGGAGGGGAAACGCTCGGGGAAAGGGGTTAAACGGGGCCCAGGGGCTGCCAGAAGTGTGGGGGAGTACGTGGACAGGCTGGGGGGGAGGGCTCAGCTCTCCCGGAGCTGCAAAAACTCTGCGTTTGTTGTAATTTTTGTTGTCAGTTTTTGCTTTCCGACACCCGGCTCGAGCTACGCGGGTGAAGCCCACCGCGGTGGCCCGTGGGGTGCAGAAGGACAGGAGCCGGGCGGAGGGGGGCTGGTGAGGAGCCCCAGGGCTTTTGCTAAGGACCCCAAAAAAAAGAATGTGACAGGAGAGATGTTAAGGCACTTCCCCCTTGATAGGGACCCTCCTGCGATGGCAAAGCGGTCGGTGACCAGCCAAGCCCGATGGCTGTGCTCAGACCGGCACTGAGAGGGTGACATGGATGCAGCTCTAGTCACCTATTAACCATTGTAATTTGTTTTGTTTGCTGTTACGCAAGAAGCTGTGGTTGTAACAGACATTGTGTGCTGCATGTTACTGGTTCTCTTTTGAAACAAGTGGTGACTATCTCCGTTGGGCTGAGTTTTGCCAAAAATACCTACTTGTGCCTATCAGTGGAGGAAAACATGGACTGGGTCAGACCGGAGGAGCCCATCGTGCCCAGTCTTCTGTCTGTGACAGAGGGTGCTGGTGGACATTTGGGTAAAAAGGCAAAGCCCGCGGTGGCCAGGCCTGCCTTCCCACCACCAGCCATCTGTGGCTGAGAGACTTCCCTGGGCCAGACATCTTATTGTCCCATTTCAAGTAGTCCTTGGTGGATTTTATACAACTTTATACAACTTCAGGTTGCCTGGTGATATGCTCATGTCTGAAATGTGAGCAGGTAATGAAAGCTGACATCTATGTTGTATTTTTTCCTCCAGAAAGGCCAAGATGCCCACTAGTCCCTACAGCCCCAGGCGAGGTCATGGAGCAGCAGTGGTGCAGGCATACAGCTGGTGCTCCAGCACTGCCTTGTAGCTGTGAATGCAGGGCAGCAAGGAGGAGGTTGATGGGGCCTTTCTCTCCTGTTATTCACGGTCATTTAGGAAAATATATTCTAGAATCAAAATACACGTAGTCTACATCTCCTTAGAAATTATGATGAAAGCTTTGCCAAAGGTATGACTGTATTTCTTTTTCTAAAAACACAGCCTTTTTACTTATTTTTTCCCTTTTCTAGTTAAACAGTGTTTCAGATTCCTAAGCAAAAAACAAGGAAATACTTACCAAATTAGGGTTTTGTTATTTTCTGAAAACCCGAATTCAGAATTTACACCCAGGAAATATTTACCAGATTGTTTCATATATTCCTCATACTCCCCCACTCAACTCCTAGATCCCAGCCACAATGCTCACTGAGTTAATTCTTGTGGTTCATTTTGAAAGATTTAATATGAACTTAGGTTCTCCCCTTCCCTCTTAAAGTTAAATGTCACTGAACTTCTTTCCATATACTCAAGCCTTGAGAATCCTTAAATCCTCACTATGACTGAAGACTGCAAAAGAGCTCTTATGCCAGCCTTAGCCACAACCATTTAGGCATAATTCATTCTTTATTTTATTCTCATAAATTGCTTCATTCAGACCTTTAAAAATAGTTTATTTTCTCTGACTCTTTTATCTATGTTTCAAAAGATTTCAGGTATGCAGTTGAGTACAGTGCTGGGTAGGAATCTCTTTAGAGACCTGAAGAACAAGCACACTCTATCCTCCATTCAGTGCATAATGACTGGAGGTCTGTGTCTGCATGTGGAGAAGATAATCCATGAATTAGACACCAAATTACCAGTCGGACACCAATTGAATTACCTGTGATTTTGGAAACTAAACCGTCTCCTAAGCTATTTTGGAAAATTCTTCTAGATATCTATTTATGCTATTAGGTATCTAAATAGTTTTGGAAAAACATCCTGTTTTCCAAGGGTCTTGGTTGAAGTCACTGTGATGTCTTTCACAGTGTTGGAAGTTCTGGACATCTCTGTTGAATAACAAGGGTTTCAGTGCCCACTACCAGGTACCTAAAAGAAAGCTCTCTGTAAAATGAAGATGCTGAAATTTGGTCCCTAGAGTCTGATACATCTTCACTCTTGAAACACTATGCACAGACCAAGTTTATCCAACCCTACCCACTCTCTGAACACATGAACTGGGCATTCTTTGCACTGGTGAATAATAGGTTAAGGCCATATTTTAAAACACAGCTTCCTCTCCCCCTCCCCACCCAGCTGGAAGTACAAAGCACTGATCTATCTTCCTGCATTCATATGGCATTCAGCACTTTTGAAGATTGAATTCCCCAGCTGTTTCTGACAGAGTGCTGTGAAAATAGGACAGAGAAATTCAACTGATCTTTACAGAAACAGCTTACTCTGGTAAGCAGAAAGAATGACTGCATAGCCTAAAGGTATTCACACTGAAGTAGACTGAGCTCCTCAACTCATTTTGCATGGGACACAAAACTGCCTTCATTGAAGAACAGGGTCAGATTTGACCTACCAACATAGGTTTGAAAGGGAGCGACAAAATGCGTAAGTTCTGGTTTCCTCAGTAAAGCCTTCTTGTATGTGCTTTGCTTTATTCTGTCTAGCAGCGTTGTATCAGGAAAGGCTTAAGCAGGTGAAAAAAAAAAATAAAATACAGAGATTTCCTTTTTTTTTCTCTGGTAGAAAATTAACTCCTCTGAAGTCTCCTGCGAGCATACAACCTTCTCCTGTGCATTGGGAGTCTCCGCAGCTGAGTATTTCCACGCCTTTGGCTCTGCAGAGCATTAAGTCGGATGGGGAGGACAGCTTTGTTGATGACATTGAGACGTTCATTGAGTTCTTCCAGCCTTTTCCTTATCGACTGGACTTCCCTCACAAGATTGTCTACAGCCGCAGACACGGGACGGAGACTACAGAAGAGTAACACAGAAGAATAACTCAGTTTGGGGGCTGTTCCTGAGCATGCTAAATAAATTAACAGGCTACCAGGCCTTGTGTTGCCCGGGGAAGGAGACAGGTAGCTGAAAGAGCTGGAAGCAGTCGGCTAAAAGATGCTTACAAAACACTCATGTAAGACACCCCTTTCTGAGCCCATCAGAAAACCATGAACTACAGGACCAGTGTGTGCAACACGCTCTTTCCATTTCTGCCGGAGCACAGCTGGCTCGGTGCAGGTTGACAGCTGATTTATGAGCTCCCATAAGCACTTCACAGCCCTGCTGCTTTCAGGGAGGAGATGAAAACCATCCTGCTTTGCTGGAACCAGTGGGGCTAAGCAGCCAAGAGCAGCAATGTGCAGGAAATCCTGTGGGGACTTCCCGATGAATGGCAGGCTGCTGGCTGCCACAGTACAGATGGGATTGCAGAGCCCCCTCACCAGTTTCTGCAGGCTGTGCCTCTCCCCAAGCTGAGGAGAGGACAGCTGGGTTTTTCAACAGGATTTAGCAAGGTGAGGGCTGCACTGACGCACTGGCATGCCTGGGAGTAGCTCTGGCCCTTCCTTTGGAAGGCTTTCTCTCAGTCTCCCTTTGGGTCTTAACAAGCTCTGACCGTCATTCCAATCTCATGTGATATTAATAAGTATTAATCAGACTTACTGTTAACCAGGAACAGAAATGGAGGCTGGGCCACCGATTCCCCCAGGCTACTGCCAATCCTCAGCACTTAAAGTGGACCAGCCTGTGTCCTTACCAGCAAGCACTCACTTCACAGCACTATGTGGGAAAAGTGACTGAATAGTCTCATTACCTCTCCCTGCACAACAGTTAAGGAGTCAAAGAAAGATCTAAAAAGTCCTTAGATCTCTCTAAGTTAGATCTTTCCAAATATATGACTTAATGTCTGCCCTGAAAATCTTAGGCACTGGTAAATTTCTGCACTGGGGGTATGAAAGTTGTGATCAGTTCTGTGCTAATAGCATCCCCCATGCAGGTGGGGAGATATCTACTTGATGACAAAGACCAGCATATAATCTATGTACCATATCCTCCTTAAACCCTAATTTGATAATGTGTGACGTTCTCATAAGTGTCATTTTATGCTTCCAGCCTTTCCTTTTCAACTGTCTCAATGCACAGCAGTTGTGGAGAGATTGTTTTGGGTGGTGTTTTTTTTTGTTTTGTTTTGTTTTGTTTTGTTTTGTTTGTGCATGTGTGGTTGTTTTTTTGTTTCTTGTTGTTGTTGTTGTTTTTCTAAAGAGAAATCTGAGCTGTGGAAGAGAACCATTTGCTTTAGGAACAACTCTGGTTTAACAGATAGTAGTTTCTTGTAGTTCCTGTGTTCCCTTCTTCTCTCTATCTTCCTCTGTCTTTTCCACTCTGTGTTTTGGAAATGTCAGATTAAAGTAACATTTGAGTGTGTTCAATAGGAAATATTTCCTGTATTGCTAAGGGGGAAATGTGAGGAGATGGACTAGAGAATAGCTTCCACTGCTTAGGTGTTACAGAGACTGAAATCAAAATATCACAGGCCAGCTCAGCTTCTTCTCCCTACCCTGCGGCCAAATCCATGTGTGGATTTGTAACACAATTCATCTTTTCCAGTCTGTTCTCACACCTCACAGAAGTGAAGTGTTGAGGACAGCCTAAGTTTTCTTCAGGGTAATTCTTACAATACAATCATGGCAATTGGCAATCTTTCCCAATAAATAGTGAGCAGTATATTCAATTTCCTAGGGTGCTCAGAGCTGCTAGCACAACAGATACCAAGAGTGGGATTCATCTCCCTGCAGTTGACCAATCTGAAAGCTAAAGAAGATGAATCCCGCTTAAGGCAGGACACCCGGGGCAGGACTGAATCACACCTCCAGATAAAGGGAATTACCTGGAGATCTCCGGCAGTAAAGCGTTTGGGTTGTTCAGCAGGGTGTGTTTCATTTGCCAGAAGATGCTGTTTCCCCATTTCTCAAGTGTTTGAGTAATGCTGTTAACGCCTTCTATGTTGACCTTGTCAGCTAGGTTAGCAGGACATCCATGAAAGCGAGGAA